TCCCCAGGCCAAATCGGTTAAATGTGATTTTTCTAAAGACACGATCGCTTTGCATTCCCCTCTAAGCATGACCAGACTTAGTCTGAATCCAACCTGCTGAAGCAGACGCTCTGTTCTCGAATCCCAGCAGTGCGCAGACGGGTTGTTCTGCATGGCCCGGCCAGAGTCCACCAGGAGAAGAGTCTTTTCTGTGGGGGGCCCATTTCTATGGGACTCTCTGCCTCTGGGGGTCAGGCAGGCACCATTATTTATTTATTATTATTTATTTATTTAAAACGTTTCTATGCCGCCCCCGTCGCAACAAAGCCTCTGGGCGGCTCACAATACACCGATGCGCATCAGGACTTGTGGGATTTGAAGCTGTCTTTATTCTGGGAAGCTTTTATTCTGTTCTTAAAGACTCGTTGGTACTCCCTTACCTGTTTTGTCCTTTTCAAAGCATGCCTTTCTGCCTTAATCAGGATGCCAATGAGGGAAAATAGGAAATACATAATACTATCAATTTATGACTACCTTCTGGTTCATGGGTCTGTTGCCATTCTGGAAGAATTGGGAGACTCAGTGGGGTGATCGCGTGGTCTGGGGGAGCGTGACTTCCCTCTGGCCCCCACGGCGGGACTAGAAGTCTGACCCAGTGTGGGAAGCTGTGGCTTGGCTGTGGCTGGGAGCTGCCCCTTTTCCTTGCGTAAGACCTCTGCCGGAGGGGCAGCATGAAGGTTCTCTTACAGGTTCCCAAGGCCTTAACCAACCTGGGGAAGGAGATCCGAGCAAGTCGCTTCTCCCTTACCAGTGCTCAGGCGGAGCCGTCAGATGAGATGTACCTGGTGGTTCCACCGCCACGTGCTCTGTTTGAAGTCCCTCTGGAGCAGGGCCTTCGGCGTGTTGGCCCCCTCGCAGTGGCACCCGGATCCGAAGTTCATGTAGAGCACAGATTCTCAGGCCGTGGCCCACAAGCTCCATTCAGCTGATCTGTGGAAAGGCAATGGAGCAATCAAGAATTCTGTGCTTGGCACGAAGTTTATTATTCTGATAGCAGAAACGGGTGGCTTTTGGGGGCCTTCGATTCTCCTAATGCCAAGCCAGGGCAGTCTCCTAATTTCGAAACATCGTGGAACCAGAAACCAGTGAGCAAGAGCACCCATCAGGCTGGGCTGAGGGGCACGGCTCTGAAACAGGGGGCCCCAAAACCAGGCGCCCCGTGAGCGGGAGAGGACAAAGCAGCACCGTCACTGTTGCCACCTCTTTAAATAGGCTGCCGTTTTAATGACATGCCATGGTCGGTAAACATCACTGGCAGAAGGGAGCTGGCGCTGAGTTAGAAAGGCAAGGCTGCACTTATCTAAAGCTGGCTTCTGGAAGGGCTTTGATTGCGCTATGGCGAGTGAGCCAAGCCGTCTGCTGAGCCCGCCGGCCGTTTTCAGGGGCTCTGTGGGGAGCTGAGAGGAGCGGATGAGTGCCAGGGGCAGGCAGGCCCACTGAGCGCAGCTGAGATCCATGGAGGGCATCTTGGTCAGGCGGCGAGAGTTTGCTCGGCACTAACTTGGGGATCACGGTGCTTTTTCAAGACTGTTCCCAGGGTCTGGTGTTGGCCCCCAGAGACTTGTCCCGGAGGACGTTAAGGCTGAATCTTGGAGCTCAGGTTAAAGCATGGGTAGAGAGCCTTGAACATGAGGACTAGCTACTTGAAGTTAACAGGAATTGAGTTAAGAAATGACTGGGAAGCAAGGAGATGTGCTAAATTAACAGGGAGGCAGGCTTGAAATCTGGGAGATTCCTAGTGCAGGTTTAGACAGAAAGGCATGTAACTCCCGGCATGCTGGGAGCTTCGCACCTGGGCGCAGGATCGTGCCTCCAAGTGCTCCAAACTAGATTCTTCATCTCTGCTCTTCAAGGAGCTGGACACAAGCCCTTCAGGGACAGGGACCCATCCACTGACTGCCTCCCAGCGTGACTGGCCAGGGTGCCAAAACCCTTCCAACCCACGAGCCCAATTTAACGTCAGAGAAGCTCTTGGGGCTTCTGGGCCCAAAGCTACCAAGATCGGCTAGCACCAAGCTTCCTCCATCAGTCACTTCACTTCAGGAGATGCATTTTTACTCTTTGAAGGGCAGGAGGGTGCGGGAAAAACGGTGCAAAATCGGGAGAACCTCGAACTACCCGTGGTTTGGTTAGGTGAAGGCACACAGGCAGGCTTTGGGGCTCAAGGTCTCTCATACAGGGCCAGCGGTTTGCAGTAAGGCAAAGGAGTTTCTGTGTCATTTAATAATTTGAGGCCTGCCAGTTCCCCCGTTTCACCTTCCTCGTTGCACCAAGTGCCTTTCTCGTTGCTGTTCTGTGCGTATTAGTGGGACTGCGGGCAATTCTGTGCCTTCCCTGCCTCTAAACAGGATGCGATGGAAGCTCTCCAGAGGGCCAGAGCTGGGCAGAGTTTATGGCACGCAGGGCGGACTTCCAGGTGCGGGTGTGTCTTATCCCTCATGCGTACACAACCCTCCCTCCGGGCTTCTGGACACAGCGCTGTCCTTACCCCATACCTGGGTTTTCGGGACAATTTCCTACACGGGACGGCGGCACGCGAGCCGAAAAACCTTGCCTTTCTCTCTCAGGCAGAAGGGTGTGTTTGTTCGTGCATCTTGTTCAAACCGTCCAGGATTTCCCTTCATATAATTTCGTCCAATTACCAAACAGGCAAACAAAAAATCCCTCTCGGTTTGACGTGTTTTGTTACGGATTTTCCATGTTGTCCCCAGCTCCAAAATGCGAGGAAATGCTTTTTTTAGTCCGGGGTGGCCAAGCTCCCATGTGGAATTCGGATGAGGCGTCCAGAGCTTGGGCACAAGTCTGGCTGCGGCTGTGGTCCTTGGCAATATTCCACGGAGAGAATAAAGGACGCCAGAGTCGTGCTATTGCAAAAGAATGCATTGCTATAGCGATATAAACATAAAATAAAGAAAAACAATAAGGTTAATGTCAAGCTATAAAGTATGCAAGTTTCTGGGTCAGTATAAAATTTTGCATTGCATCTATGCATGTTCACATTTTTAACATCCAGCCCTTGCTCAGGAGGATTTTGCCTTAATTGTGCTAATTTGCCTTCCTGTGAATGGGTCCTTGCAAAGGCACCAATTGGCCCCAGTCAGGTGTGGATTAGCTTAAATGTTGAGACGCCAGTAATGGGACGGCCTAGAAAAGCTGTAAATAAGTAAAAATAAAATGCTGCTGATGTGGACAAGGGCTCATTTACGTATTTGCAAAAAGCCCCCTCCGAAATGAAAGATCGGCCCACAGTCCACCTTACCTGGGGAAAGATACTCTGCTGAGGAATCCAGTCTGGAGAAATGGGAAGTCATTTAAGCCTCTTGCGGGTTTCCTTAGCACCCTTGAGCTGCGTCTTTCCAGCTTCAACGCTCACCCTGGACCTCAACGGCTGTCCATGGCAAAGCAACGGGCCTGAATCCCACATTTCTTGTTTCCCTGAAATGGCCGTGCCAACAGCACCATCCACACGGAAAGCCGGAGTCCGGAGGACCCTTGAGGTCATCTGGTCCTTCCCCTGCTCAAAAACTGTGCTAATGTGGGAAGAGAACTCCAGAAACCAAAAAGTCTCTCAGGCGGCAGCACACAGAGAAGGGTCTGAAGTTGGCTGCACGGATGTTCATATGGGGTGAGGTGGTCCTTCAGGGATTCGGGTCCCAAGGGCTTCCTAGGTTAAAACTGGCGTTAGATGGCCCGCTTTCGTTTTCCTCCTAGGTGAGCCTTTGACGGTGCTTGGACAGAGGGAAAGGATTGCAAATTCCTGACAGGCTTGAAGGACAGAAAGAAGTCTTTGGGTTTTCACAGAGGGTTTTCAAGGGCATAACCAGCCCTTTGAACTGTTCCCAGAAAGACTGGTAACCAGCAAAGTGGCTGGAGCGAGGCGGCCATAACAGGCCCAGATTTTGGCACAGCCGAGATCCCGGAACTGTTTTCAAAGCTGCATAGCAAGCGCGACACTACTCTCGATTTATTTATTTATATTTACACCCCACTTTTTGCTGCAAGGAAGTCATAGGCTCCTCTCAGGGCTGTCCTGGCTGCAACCCTACACAACAACCCTGTAAGGTAGGCTGGGCCAAGAGCAAGTGGGAGCGACCCGGATCCCACGCTGGCCTTCACACGAGGTTAGATCTAAGGCAGGTACGATTCTGTCCGAGCGTATGTAAGCACTCGCCCCACTTCCAGAGCCATTTTCCGACCCTTGGATGGCGCTACAGTTTGATAGCCTTCACCCACCCCCTCGCCATGCCCGGGCACCGCTCCAGCACACCCCGGCCTGCCTGGCTCTAAGGACAGGGCTGCGTGTTATCAGCTCACCACCGACAAGACACCCCGGCCCTCCGAGGCCTTTTCCCGGCGTGTAGATGTTTAACAGCGCGGAAGATAAGTCGGGGCGCTGCAAGACTCTGGGGCTGAACAGATCTCTTTGCAAGAGCACGGGCGTCTGGCAGCGAGGCAGAGCAGAACCACTGGGCCACCGTCCCTCCAACACCCCAAAGATCCAGCCGGCGGCCATCGCGTCCCCATAGCTGAGAGTACATCCTGCAGAGCTGGAGAAAAAGGGGGCGGCATTTGCCTAGAGCAAAAAGAACAGGCGTTGTTGCTACCAGAGGGCAGATTGTGGGACCCCCAGTCCCATCCTCCCCTAACGCTTTGATGCCCCTTTCCCCTAAACTCTAATCATTTGGTTGTTTCCCGGCTTTTGCATGCAAAGAGTGCTTTCTCCTCAGCCCAGTGCTTGTCCTTACCAACGGAGAAGGCTACCCAGGCTAGGCAATCTGGAAGGCCAGCTTCCCTTCCCTTCTGCCCGCCCTTCCTTCCTTCCTTCCTTCCTTCCTTCCTTCCTTCCTTCCTTCCTTCCTTCCCTCCTTCTTTCTTCCAACCACCAGTGCTTGCTTTTGCCCGGGCCGAGGCAGCTCCCGGCTCTGCCCAAATCCTGCATTCTCCTGCTCTTTTCCCCGCAGTCCTGCTTGCCGAATACGTGGACGGGGACGTGAGTGGGAAGACGCTGAAGATCACCGATTTCGGGCTGGCCCGCGAGTGGCACAAGACAACCAAAATGAGCACAGCCGGCACCTACGCCTGGATGGCCCCCGAGGTCATCAAAAACTCCACTTTTTCCCGGGGCAGCGACGTCTGGAGGTGCGAGGGAACGTGACCTGTGCTTTTGGGGCTGCACCGGATGTGGAAGGGAAGACCAGGGCTTCGTGCCCCGGGAGATCCCTTGCCAAAACAACCACGCCAGTTCTGAAATGGTCCTGCCTTGGACCCCTTTACCATTGTTAGGCAGAGAGAGGGCAAAAACAGAGGTGTAAAGAGAGCAGAAAACGAGTTGTGGACTTTTTCTGCCTAAACCTGCATAGGATTGTACCTTTATGTACCTGTTCTATTTACATCCACCCATTCCTCTGAGGAAGCCAAGCTGTGGCTTACACGGCTCTACTTTATCCTCACAACAACCCTGCAGAATAGGCTAACACTGAGTTACTGGTCCCAAGGCATCCGAGTGAGCTTTATGACTGGGCAGGGACTGGAACCTGGGTCTCGTAAGCTGCAGTCCTGGTACTCTAACCAACCCGCTTTCCCGGCTCTCTCTCAAGATTTTGCAAAACCTTAGCGAGCAAGAGGGACAGTCACGAGCCCCGTGTCCTCCGTCTCCTCTTAGCAGGTTAGAAAAAAGAGATGGGTTGCTTGCCAGTCTGTCCTTTTTCTTTGCTTCTTCAAAGGGGGACTTTTACGATCCCCCAAAGATTAGGGTTCTGCACAGCAGGAGCTTCCCTCGACTCCCCAGTCTCCGTGTTTCGGAGCAAAACAAACACAGCAAGCTCCGAATCGGTGAGGCCTCAGGTGCCTCCGCCCGGATTCTCACCCATGTCTCCTCCTCTCCAGCTACGGGGTCCTGCTCTGGGAACTTCTCACTGGCGAAGTCCCGTACCGAGGGATTGACGGCCTCGCGGTGGCCTACGGCGTCGCTGTGAACAAGCTGACCCTTCCGATCCCATCAACCTGCCCAGAACCCTTCGCACGCCTCATGGCAGGTAAGCGAGAGAAGAGTTTTGTGGGGTGACTTGGCTTCCCCAAGAACAAAGCCTCAGCCGGGAACTTTTCTCGACCTACTGGCCATTTCTGGGAAGCAGGGAGCCCTCGGGGGCCGGAGGGCAGCTGCTGGCCCAGAACAGGCACTTTTTGACATGCTGGGAAAGATAGTAGAAGTTGGTTCCCTCCAGAGGAGTTGGACTACAATTCCTATCATCCCCACTCAGTACAGCAGAGATATCTGAAGACACCAGCTTGGGGTAGGCTGTATTAGAATGTTAAATGATCTTATAGTATAAGGATTGGATGTTACTTATTTGCACTTTTTCTATATATTTCTTGGACCCCTTTCCATTAAGGTTTTTAAAATTAAATGTTCAAATTAAACATAGTTATATTTTATAATCTGTTATATATCTATACATTTTAGTTAAATGTGTTAAACTTAAACATACTTATGTCTTAAGTATGTTAGAATGAAACATTTGTAAGTTTTATTTAAATATGTTTAATTTAAACATATTTAATTAAAGCATATAAATATGTTTGATTTAAACATTTGTATGCTTTAATTGAAAATGTTAAAATGAAACATATGTTTGAAATATTAACGATATGTTTAAGACAGGTCATTTAATGGAAATTATATATTATATTTAATTAACTTATTAATTAACTTATATTTAATTAAAAATAGAAAGAATATATAGACAAAATAATGCTTTTAACAGTACCAGGCCGACAGCTGGTACACCGTTAATGCTGCCTGAGCAAAAACATGGCTTGCAATTTAGAGCTATCTTTGTTCTCGTTTTTCAAACCGTACTTTAAAACATTTCAGCCTTTTGGTTAATGTTGAAATTATAACTTCAAGCACATTTGAGGAACCACATGAACAAAATTCCTGGGGGAACCGAGCTGCCATTTTTACCCTGATCTCTCTCAAGGCCACTGCACGTAGCCCAGGAGTCGGGTGGCAATCTCGGACCCTAAACTTGTCCCCCCGTAATTTTAAACGTTTAATTTTAGCTTTAAACTTGATTCCTGTCGCAATCCCCTGTGCCGACTGGCAGTCAGCCAGGCAACCAAACGCTTCTCCTGCAGGCCTGATACCTGTGTACATTCTGTTCCTTCCCTTCCTGGTTTCTCCCAATGACCTTCGCCAGAGTGCTGGGAACAAGACCCCCACCGGCGCCCCAGCTTTGCATCCATCCTGTCCCAGCTGACAGTGCTGGAGGCCCAGGTTCTCCACGACATGCCACAGGAGTCCTTCCACTCCATGCAGGACGACTGGAAAGTCGAGATTCAGGACATGTTTGACGAGCTCCGTGCCAAGGAGAAGGTGAGCAGCCGTCCGGGCCCCTTGCATTTCTGGGCAGGATCCGGCCCTTAATGCTCTTGGCGGTATCCGGACATGCTTGCCCTCTCTTGAACTTGCGTGCCATCTTCCATCGCTGGCAGAATTGTGCCGATGTCAGGGAATGTTAGCAAAACCCGCAGCTTCCTGGAGAAAAGCGCCAGCCATGGAGTGCCGACAAGCTTCGGCGCAAGTCGGGCGGCGGTGGCGGTGGTCACGTGCTGTTCAGTCGTCTCCGATTTATTTTGGGAGCCCTCCTTGAAAGAGATTAGGAGGGGGAATACCCGGAGGAGGGCCTTCTCTGCGGTGGCGCCCCGATTGTGGAATACGCCCCCCAAAGAAGTCCACCTGCTCCCACTGCTTTTTTCTTTTCGGCGCCAGGCAAAACCCTTTTCGTTCCCCCATTATTTTAATGTTTGATTGGTTAGAACGGCGATTTCATTGTGAATTGCTGGATGCCGTGCCATTTTTATCTGTGCCTGTTGTAATCCATCCCGAGACGTTAGTAATAGGACGGTCTATGAAAGCTTTAAATAAATAAATGGGTGAATGCGTCTCCTCTGAGCAGCTCCCGAGTCCCCGCACCCTCATGCGCCCTTCCCGTGTCCTCCGCAGGAGCTGCTGAGCCGCGAGGAAGAGCTCAAGCAGGCGGCCCTGAAGCAGAAGTCCCAGGAGGAGTTCCTTCGCCAGCGGGAGCACGAGCTGGCCCAGTGGGAGCTGGAGGTCTTCGAGCGGGAGCTGAGCCTTCTCATCCAGCAGATGAACCGGGAGCGGCCCCTCGTGAAGAAACGCAAGGGGACCTTCAAGCGGAACAAGCTCAAGGGCAGGGACAGCGAGCACATCAGCATGCCCCTCGGTAGGGCCCGCCCCGTGCCCGCGGGGATTGTGGGAAATCCAGGCGGCCGGGGCGATGGCCCTCGCTGGGGGGAGTTCAACATGGCGGCTGCCCTTGTTGGATTGGAACCGCAGAGGGGAAGCCAGGGGCTCCGGCAGCACTGCACGGCCTGGAGTTGAGCTCCGTTCTTCGCTCCCCAAGGCCTGAATCCCCAGCACTGGGGGACAATCCAGTCACCTCTTCTGGGGGCAGGGGAGCTGCCATCGGTGTCCTTCCAAAGCCCCCCAGAGCCGGAAACACCGTTCCACAGCTGGGTTTTCTCCCCGACCCCGTGAGCCTGGAAGAGCGCGTTCTTCCCCATCCACCTGCCCACTGGCCACCGGAGGACTTGCTGGTTCCACCTGGACTGGAGTCAACCAGGGGACTGGGTGGTAGCCCCATTCCCAGAATCCCCCCCCCCCCAGTGCTGTGCCAAAGGCGGTCTTATTCCAGGAAGCCTAGCCTTCCCTTCTGACCAGCCAGTCTTCATGTGATTTTGATTTTCGAAGCTTCTCACACACTGCTCGTATTTTATTTTTTCAGCTCATGCTGTGGTCCTCTGATCCAAAATATGTTTGGATGGGGAGTGCTACAGAAATATAAGCAGATACGCAGATAAAAACAAAGGTGCCCAATCCGGTGCGGACGAGAGCGGGCATCTTGCTCCCGGAGCATTCCCACTGAATGCGAGTCGGTTCCCTCTCCTTCTCTTCCAGATTTTAAGCACCGTATCACAGTGCAGGCATCTCCCGGGCTGGACAAGAGGAAGGACTTTTACGAGGTGGGCGGAGGCGGCTCCCCCACCTTCACCCGACTCCGCGCTATCCAACGTGAGTTGACGTTTGTTCGCCGGCAGGGTGCGAGTTGAGCCGAGCGCGAAAAGTTGGTTCGGACAACAGAAGAACTGTTCTCAAGTGTGGGTTGAGTTGTTGAGATGTGGGTCGTTGCTCAAAGGTCAGTTACCGTGCTGTTGGCTGAACCTGGGTTCAAGTCCCACTCGGCCACGAGGCTCATGGGGGGACTTCGGGTCAGGCGCTGGCTGTCAGCCCAATTCTGGGCCGAGTGGTCCTTTTGAGAGAGAACCATTGGACGCACGTTGAAAGCACTTTCAAAAATTCTTTCAAAAAGCTTCATGCCCCTTCCAAAATTGCAATGACTCCTGTCAAGGTTCAGATCCTTTCCCCCTTTTTAATACATAATAAACAAACCCCAAATATCATCCAGATTATTCTCTTTTATATATCCCTTTCCAATTCAATGTCATAACTTCATTTACCATTGAAAGCTGTATTCCAAACCTCTGTATAGCAATTGCCCAATTGACAATCATGTTTTACTTTCCAATTCTTTGCTATCTTGCAGCTGTTATTACATTCGATATTCTTTAATATTCTAACTCCATTGTTTTCTATCAAATATTGAGAGTAAGGCAATCACAGAACAGCAGGGTCTTTCCCGTGGTGGCACCTCAGCTTAAAATGAACTTCCCTTGAAAACATACCTGGCAGCTTTCCAGCGCCAGGTAGAGGCCTTATTTTCCCAAGAATTTTAATTTCAGTCTATTTTAAATTCTCTTCGGTGTTTTAAATTTTGGTGCCATGGCTCGGTTTTATAATTCTCCCTGTATTTTACACAATGGTCTTAACTATTTAAAACTTTATACTGTATTTTAAACTGTATTTTATGCTTTAAATTGTTGTGAACTGCCCAGAGAGTGTCAGGGATGGGATGGTATAAAAATGTAACGATCCAACAATCAGGTAAACAAGGAAAATTTAACCAAGAGACTGTAAATAAATACTACAAAAGCAACAAATGAACTTATGGCAACTTAATGACAAACACGTGCATTGTGGAAGAATTTTTTGTGGATGGCTTTGGATTAATCCAGGGCAATGGGCCACAGTCCATAAAGCATGTCATCCTGAATGTGTGAGTCTTTAAAGGTGCCCTGTGAATAAGGGAATTCTGGAAGTTGTAAGATATTTTTCTGTTATAATCTCACACAGAAGGGTCTGAATTCCAGCTTTCTTTGGGAGGTGAACTGTGATGCAGCCGCCAAAAGGGCACATGCTATTTTGGGATGCATTAACAGAAGTATGACTTCCAAATTGCGAGAAGTATTATTTCCCCTATGCTCCTCACTAGTCAGACCTCTCCTGGAATACTGTGTCCAGTTCTGGGCACCAAGATTCAAGAAAGATGCAGGAAAATGAGAAAGGGTCCAGCAGAGGGTGACAAAAATGATCCGGGGTTTGGAAACACTGCCCTGGGAGGAGAGGCTGAGAGAACTGGGCTTGGTCAGCCTTGGGAGAAGACTGAGGGGGGACACGGTATCCCTCTATAAGCCCCTCAAAGGCTGCCCCAAAGAGGGAGGTCAAGATCTTGTCTTGCTGATGCCGGAGTGCCGGACACGGAATAATCAAGTCAAGTTATGACAGCCCAGATTCAGGCTGGACATCAGGAAAAGCTTCCTCTCTGTCAGAGCAATACGACGGTGGGACCAGCTGCCCGGAGAGGTGGGGGGCTCCCCCACACGGGGGACATTCAAGGCGAAACCGGGCAGCCATCTGAGTGGGACGGTGTGACTTGGTGTCCTGCAAGGGCAGCTGGCTGGACCTGATGGCCTTCATGGCCCCTTCCAATTCTACTATTCTAGGATTCCTTCGAAGGAGTGTGCAAGACGTTTGTGTGTGTGTGTGCGCGTGCATGCGTGTGTGCGATTTTCCCCTTGTAATCATGCCCCCCTTTTTCACGCTCCCACAGTAGAGCCAAGCGAGAACAACCAGATTCGGGGTCGCCAGTCACCGCGGCGAGGAGACGAGGCCTGGAATGGCCGAACGAAGAGCCCTGGGTCCCCCAAACCGTGGGAGAGCAGTATGCAGAATGGCCGGTAGGGGGCAGCCTTTCCCTGTCTGCTGTCAGCCCCATTTCTTGCTTGTCTCAATCATTGTAAAGTGCGCCCTCTCGGAATGAAGCTGTGGGTCTCCGCAGCCCTCCAGTAAGAACTGGTTGGTGTTTCGTTTGGGGTGCAAAACGAATGCTTAGCTTATTTCTCCATCAGAGAAAAGCAGAGATGGCTTTTTTGTAGGTTAAAGCAACACACCAGTCCCTACCTGTAGGTTTTCACTCTAAAAAGACATGACACACAAGGAAAAAGACTACGGAGGGAAGAGGAAAAATAAACATTTCCGCAGGGCTGGTGGAACGGCTCCATTTCCCCATCGCATTTCCCTCCCTTGAAGTCCTGAATCTTGCTGGGTCCCTTCGGCCACCTGCCATCTTGGCCTGACTACGGGGCCAGATGGACAGAACCCGACTGGCACAAGACCATGCCTTGCCCTCCCTTCCTGGAAGCGGGGCAGGCACTTCTGTCCAGGTTCTGACCCCTTTCCTGCCTGCCCCCCAGGAGACGCTCGCGGCTGGAAGAGACAACGTGGTACATGGAGCCAGAGGGGCCGCCCACCTCCCCCCAGCCTCAGCCCAGCCCAAACGGTGAGTACGTTCGTCATCCAGCTGTTTCGGTGGCTGGGCAGGGAGGGTGCTTAGCTCCACTGAAGCTGGACTGTTCTGCACCTTTTCTCATCTGCTTAGCGGCAGCGGACTGCGGAATAATTTTCCAGTTCCAGAAGAGAGCTGTGCCTCTCCAAAGCAGGCAGCCCACCTTCTGCACATATTTTTTTTGGGGGGGGGCTGAAATTTGCACACACAAAATACCGGCCGCCCTATGCGAGTGCGCACAACCCCAAGTCCACATGGTCCTGCAGAGGCCCGTCTCCCTCTTACAAACATCCTTGTCTGTTTTATTCCTTCCGAATCCTATTTCCCATAGCCTGGAAGAGGCCGATTCCCAGCTTTTTCCAATTTCATCCCCTGCTGCTTTCCTGGGCTCCAAGAAAGATTTTCGGTCTATAGAAAGCAGCACTGGGGAATGTTTTCATATCCAGATCTTCGTGTCCTCAGTTGTCAAAAACTTTGGAGGTTGGTGGACGAGGTTGGTGCCCGAGGGAAACGTGTGGTTCCTTAGCCCACTTCTCCGAAGCGTTGTCAGGGTCCGACTCCACTTCCCCCTTGCTCACAACTTTCTCGCCCATGCAGGCAGTGTCCCCGTCGACGCCCCTGAAACGGCGGACCCGGCCCCAGAACGCCCCAGCGCCCCCCGGCTCATCCAGCGGGCCCTGCTCCGGGGCACGGCTCTGCTCGCCTCCCTCGGCCTGGGCCGGGAGCTGCCGTCCGCCTCACAGGCGCCCCCACCGAGTTCCCCTCCGCCGGAGGCCCCCCCGGCCCTGCAGGTGGAGCTCTGCAAGGAGGACCCCCCCACAGACCTGCTGGTGGATCTGGCCGCTGGGGCCGATCGGGACACCCTGCCTCCTTTGTGGGTCCAGATGTCCCCCAAGATCCCAAGACTCGTGGAAGGACGTGGCCACAAGGCCCAGAAGTGGGGTGAGTTGCGGCTTTGTCCTTCGGGGGCCACGGGGGGGGGCAGGCCAGAGTGGGCATGGACGGACGGACGGAGGGACACGGCGGTTTCATGGATTCTCTCCTCCCGGTTTACTCTGCGATCCCCAAATCTTTGAGGAGAAGGATGAATTTCCCCACAAAAGGAGAACATTTCTTGTAGTCTGAGCTCTTTTGTGGTGGCCTGATCCTCAATGGGAAGACAAGACCCATTCGCTTTGCCAAAGATTGGCGCCGGGTGGAGAGGGCAGCTCCCAGGCCTCGTTTTGCGCAGCTCCGTCCATTCAGCCGGCGTTAAAATCTGGCGGCGCTGCCGAAATTGACTCCTTCGACTTCGGCATCCAGAGTCCGGTTGAGCTTGGCCGGCGGGGATGCTTCTCCGTCGGGGTTTCGGCATCGAGGCTGCCGCTCACGTTTGCTTCTGCTCTGTCTCTCCCCGCAGATGGGGCGCTGCCGTCCCCCTCCTCCCCGCGCAGCCCCCGGTCGCCTCGGCCCTGCAGCCTCATCTCCCGCCCACGGCCGTCGCCCGTGCGCTCCCGCATCGACCCCTGGAGCTTCGTGTCCTCCCGGGCGCACCCCTCGCCCGTGCAGTCCCCCCGCCTGGGGCCACGCCAGCTCAAGCCGCCGGCCCCCGAGGGCCCCCACCCTTCTGCGGGGCCCGACCCCGACCCGTTTGCCTGCGGGGACTTCTCAGCCCTGAAGGAACTGCCGACTCCTGCCACGCCGGACCGGTTTGCTGCGGCCTCCCGGCCGGGCGCTCCAAATCCACTCAGCCGCTCGCCCTCGCCGTGTTGGACCGCCAGAGCGTTCCCCCCCCAAAGAGGAGCCGCCCGCCCAGCCCTGGTGGTCGGCGCCTGCGTCCCCGCAAGGAAGGGCGGCCCCCAAGTGACGGGGACGGCTTTGTTCGGGAACCCTGGAACTCGAACCTCGTGCGAAGCCCGCGGCTGCAGCGAGGGTGAAGACGGGAAACGCGGACGGTGGCAAACGGGGAAGTGCCGGAGTTTCTAGATTCGAAGTCCTGGAGCGCAGGCCCAGGTCCCATCCCCGGGTCTCCGCGCTCAAATCCCCGGAGTGCCGCCGCTGCGATTCGGTGCCGACAGGACTGGGCCGAGGCCCGAGTCGGTCTGAGGGGTTCCGAGGCATTTCTCCCCTTCCCCAGCAGCGCTGCAACGTGTTTCTGCAGTCCCTCGGGTTCCTGCAGGGATGTGAAGCGATTCTACGACGTGCTTTGTCCTGGGGAAGCAGTGAAGGGGCTCCGCCTCAGGCAGGGTGGAGAAGTGGGGAGTCGCAGCTCATGCTGGCGTTCTCACGAACACTAACTGGTCAGACCTGGGGCAAGTCTCCTTTCTCTGTATGTCCCCCCATCTTTGTAGAGGCAGGCTGTGTGGGGGGGGGCGGGGAGAGATCCGAAGTGGCAGCTATCTTTATTCATACCCAGGCCGCATTTGCTTCCTGGCTCTGTTCACCCCCTGGCTTCCCTCACCTCCTGGTTCCACTTGCGTCCAGGTTTCTTTTGTGTCCGGGCTCCCTCTGCCAACTCCACTCATCTTGACTGTGCCTTAGCTATTCCCCCTTGCATGCGGGGTTGGTGGGCCAGCCGGCCAGGACCACATGCCCCCTCCCTTCACACCACCTCCCATCTCCTCACATCCCAGGATCAAGCTCGGCTGCAGCAAAAGTTGCAGCCCTTTGACCAGAAGGAAAAACTGCCAAGGCCAGCTTTGCTGGGCTTACAACAGAGCAGAAACGAGATGTTCTGAGCTACAACTCCCACAGTGGCCGGGGATGCTGGGAGCTGTCCGATACACCTGGAGGACACCGGAGCAGGGAGGGCGCGAGCAGAGCCGACAGAAGCTTCCCACCTGTGTTCTTGAGCAAACCACATTGCGGAAGAGGGTGTCCGGTGAGATGAGAGAGGTGGGGAACAGGCAGGCCATCCTGCATGCTGCTTTGCGGGGGGGGGGGGGGGGGGTTTTTTTTTTTTTTTTAACAGAGAAGAGAAAAGCAGCAAAGATCTCTGCGGGGTGCTGCTTGCCAGAAACCGGGCCGCTCCGTGGCTGCAGCCCCCTTTGGATGTGTGATTCTACTGTGTCCTGGCCCCCTACTTGAAGTCCGCCTGTGCGGGAGGCCTGCTGCCCCTCCGCGCACACAAGGGAGCCACCCGTGCCCAGCCCAGCCCCGTGGGGCCGGGCCAAGCCTGTGAAACGAGACCAAATAAACCTCCAGTTGCTGCGTCCGTGTCCGTGTCCCCTCCGTCCGGCGTTCCCACCCACGCGCACCCGGCAGCCGTCTGAAAAGCGCTCGGGCCGGGGCGGGCGGGGGTCCCGGCAGATAGAGCGCTTTCCTGCCTGAACAGGCACAGGGTCGCACCCAGGTTGTGCTGTGCCACTGCGGCGTCTCCACGTCCTGGCGACCCTGCGAACGGATGCCCCCTCCAGGGCAGCCCTGCTCGGCTCTTGCAAACTCCGGGCGCCTTGGCGGAGTCCCCCCATCCCTCGCCCGGCCTTCCTTTTCTGCTTCCGCCTTTGGCTTTCGCGGGCACGACCGTCTTCTCCAGGCAGCCTTCCCGTGAGGTGCCTGAAACAGGACAGCCTCAGCTTCGTCCTTTTCGCTTCTGGAGGAAGCTGACTTGGTCTGCGATCCCCTCCTTCGTCTCTCTCGTATGTGCGGAGCTCCTCTCTGGCAGCATGTTCAGAGAACATCCATTTCACTCCAGCTTTTGCACCCACACAGGGGCTGGGAATATGAATGATCCCGGAAATGTGAATGCTCTCGGCCTGGTGAAACATCCTCTCATCTGATGCTCTTTTCTAGTTCCTTCGTCCCTCCCAAGCCCCAGTTTTCTTCAGAAGTCTTGGCTTCAGTCTCCCTTTGAATGGATGACTGGCTGGGCTCTCGCAGGGGAGGAAACGAAGTCTAAGAGTACCAAACACAGACCAAAATCAAGTGTTGGGAGTTGTGGGAGTGAATCCCTCTGCCCTTGCTCTGGGACCGTACAGGAAATATCTGGGATGGGAAGGGAGTTGGCTGCCCTCTCCCCCAGGCTTACAGAGGTGATATAAAAGGGTGGTACTGGAAGAAAGAAGATGATTAGGATCCCCTCAGGGGCTCTGGCTTCTAGGCTCCAAAAATTCTGGGCTGCAGGCTCTTCGGTGCCCTACAACATTGCACAGGGCGCTGGACCAGGTGGGGGGTGGTGACGAACGATGCCACTTGCCCAGGCCACACTGGACCACAGCTGCCGCCCCCAGAGCTACTCTGCTATGAACAATGCCCCGAAGAACTGAGGCCTTTGGATTGTGGTGCTGGCGGAGACTCCTGCGAGTCCCTTGGACTGCAAGGAGATCAAACCAGTCAGTCTTAGAGGAGATCAACCCTGGCTGCTCCTTAGATACTGAAGATGAAACTCAAGTACTTTGGCCACCGAATGAGGAGGAAGGACTCCCTGGAGAAGAGCCTGATGCTGGGAACAATAGATGGCAAAAGAAGGAGGGGGCGGCAGAGGATGAGGGGGCTGGATGGGGTCACTGGGGCAGTGGGAGTGGGCTTGGGTGGACTCCGGGGGCTGGTGGAGGACAGGAAGGCCCGGAGGAGTGTTGTCCATGAGGTCGTGATGGGTCGGACGCGACTTCGCGACTAACAACAACAACAAAACAATGCTTTATCTGGCAGGGCCAGCTGGATATCCCGACTTCAACAGTGTTCCGAGCTCAATTCCTCCATCGCCGCACTTCAGTTACGTATTTAAAACTTTTCTGTGCCGTCCTCTATGCATGGCATCTCAGGCCAGCTGACTAACATTAAAATCAAAAATGAATGACAATTGCTACAAATATAAAGCAATATACAACGAATAAAAATAAATGGGTAAGGGGAGGTGGGCATGGGACGCCCCTTCTTCAAGAAGAACTTGCCTCAGGTTCGCCCTTCGTTTATAACTGCACCTTGTTAGCGCTCACAACCCAAAGCTCTCTGGGCAAAGCCAAACATGCTTGCTGGTTGTTGCTCATCCTCCGGTTGTCACCACGGAGGGTGTGAACAAACCAGAGGCTGGAAAAGCTGCTGGGGATTCCGGCCCCAGGATTATCAGGATGAGCAACACAAAATAAAAAATTCACGGAAGGTTCCCACGCAGCCTCGCTGCTGCCTGCCAGCTCCCTTTGAGCAACTCCTAAAAGTGTTGCTGGCCAGGCCTGGAATATATAACGCCAGTGCACCAAAATTAAAGCGTCAACCCAGAAGTTGTGGAAGAATGCAAACGAGGCAGGGGAAAGAGAGCGAGGCGATTTGAAATCTAGCTGGCAGCTGAGCAGGAAAGAACAAGGCTAGAGAGAAAACAAGCTTGCAAAAGAGCTGAAAGCAGAGAACCAGGTTTGCACTGCAAATTCCTACTGTACCGTTTGGCCCCTGAGGCATATGGACAAAACATGCCAGCCAGGCCAGGGCTTAACCTCGAAAGACATCCTGCTTCCTGCAGGAGCCTAGAATTACTGAATTGCACCATTGCCCAAGCAAGCCTCTGGGGTGGATCCCAAATTTAAGAGCAGAGCAGCAAAGGCCGAACTGCGGCTATGCCACAGCTCAGGTCTCCCTTCTGCCAGAAAGCCAGCAGGGAGGTAATCTTAGAAAGTAACCTTTTCAGCCACCTACCTGCAGTCTAGGGATAATTATGCCCTGCAACAGGTGGAAGCAACTGGGGCCTTCAGATCCTTTGGCCTGCAACTCCCATCAGCCTTAGGCAGCACAACCAATGGTGAGGGACGATGGGCAGAGTAGGTGAAACTTCTGGAAGATCACAAGTTGCCCAGCTCTACCTTACAGGGTTGTTGTTTAACAAGATGGGGAAGCTGTGGCCCTTCAGATGTTGGACTACAATTCCCATAATCCTTGGATATACCAGCTGGTGCGAATGGGCATTTGGGCCCACCTGTTGTAAGTAACACAAGAAATATACCTCCATAATATATGGATGCTAAATATCACACCTCCATCCTTATGACTTCTAGCTAGGTAGGTTATATGGGGCGATATGAAAACTAGCCAAACCTGTTGGTTTATGCCCTGCTTTTCAAACCAGTTTCCCGCAGTGGCTTATGATAAAAGCACAACGGAACTAACATGCAAAGTTTTAAAATGCAAAGTTTAAAAAAGCCTCCCACATGCAAGATGGCAGGATCAGAAGAGGAAAACCTGCGGAATTTGGGATTTCTTAGTTTAGGTAACAGATGTTGTGGTGGGAGTTTCTAAAATTATGCGTGGTGGGGTGAAAAATAAAAATCAGTATTCCCCTCTCTCTCCTAACTCTGGAACACGGGAGCTATAGAATCAGGAAGAGAAGAGAAAGGTTGAATTTCATGCTTGATTGAAAAGCACCAGTTTGGCCAGCTTTAAAAGGGGATTAGGGCATTTCATGGAAAAACATTTATTTTACTTTATGTTATTACAGGTACGGAGGAGGCGGCTCTCTGTGGCTACTAGTCTTGCTGGTCATGGGCCACCTCCTCTACCAGGGGCCTCACCAGTTGCCAAGGGCGCTAGACTACATGGGCTCCTACTTTATGCCATTGCTCAGCCAAAAATCCCTCCAGAACAGCTGTTATATGAACAGTAAAATAAAAGCTTGCCTTAAGGCTTGCAATCCAAAGACACATGACACACGAGGAAAGAGGAACACGGAAGGCAGAGGAAAAATACGTCTACGTCCCCCATAATCCCCAGCCAACATGGCCAAGCTGAGGTGATAGTAATTGGAGTCCCTCACATCTGGAATATGCCGATTTGGAGATAGCTAGAGTGCAAACCGTAGCATTAGTCCTCCTGAACCCCAACGGAACCCCAATATTCAGGGCAGCTACTGACTGCTGCTGTGGACGGGCAACGAAAGGGGGGTGAATTACCTTGTGGGTCCCCCGATTGAATTTTGCCGCACCTCATAGGACTTTTCTTACAAGGAGGGTCTGCCTATCCACAATGGGAAGGATTCAAAATGGAGCCTCCGCACACCAGGGCAGTCTAGCTCCCATCAGTAAAGTGCCAACAGCATTTGCGGGCTCCTCGACGCCATGCGGGGAAAGGGAAAACCGGGCGCCAGGCTGAGAGTGGGGGATCCGAACCCAGACTGCTGCTCGGCGCCGCCGGCCCCCCGGGGGTGGTGCCGGCCAGCCACTGCCTCGCTCACTCCGACCTACCTCGCAGGGCTGTTTTGAGGACGACGCGGAGCAGCGGAGGGATGCGCCCGCTGGCACGACCCGGAGGAGGGAACGGCCGGACGCGAGCCGGGATCCCAGGGGGCGCCTGCCCTCGCGCGCCACACTCGCCCCGATGCCCGGGGGGGG